GCTGAAGGAAAAACAAAAAACAAAAATAAGATATTTATATATATATTATATATATATATGTGATATATTTAACGAAAACATACCTTTTCTTGCCTTGACATCATCTTCATCAAGTTTATGCAGTAAACTTTCAGATCGTTGCAATCTTTCATCCATTTGTTCTTGTTCAGTTTTAGGAGCGGTTCTTTTCATGGCCATATTTGAAAAGATACAATCGATTTTTAATTTTCTACAACTTGAGCAAGGAGTTTGAGAACCACCAGATCCACCGTCACATTTAACTTTTCTTCTTCGGCATGACTCGCATGCACGTGTGACTTTTAAACGTTTATATCTATGCAAGTCGTCAACGAAAACATATTCCATCATATTTATGTATTGGCTATAAAAAGTAGCTATAAAATATTAAAAGTGGAAAAATATATTATCGTTGATATGAAGAACGGGAAGTTTCTTAATATATATGCGTGTTCTAATACAAGGCGAAAGTATTAAAAAGTAAAGGTGTATATATCGGTATATTGTGTATAGGACAGTTAATTAGATAACACCTTTTCTTTTCCTTTTTTTTTTTTCTTTCTTTTTTTATTTATTTATTTATTTTTTAATAATATATACTAAGCAAAGGACTGTCAATACCCAGTATAAATACCTATAAAATAGGAATAAAAATGCAAATAAATGCTAATATATGCTAATAAATCAGAGTAAAAACGAACAAGGCAGAGAAAATGGGTTCAAGAAGCAGGTGAGCTAGAAAAAAAAACTGAATGATAGAAAAAGTAATATATATAAATGTATATTATATACATATATATTAAAATTAAGTGTGAACGGGAATTCTTGAACCTTTTATAGGTCAGTTGATTCTACTTTTTTTTGCCTGATAAATGCAAATCGAACACGATTTTATTGTGAAAGGAGGTATTTGGGGAAGTTGGAGATAACAGAGTTTTTATATCTTAGATGAACATTGACTGAAAAAGTTCAAATGTGATGTATCTGGTTTAACATATTTTAGTATAATGGCAATGTCGTACATGTAAAACAACTTTTATTTCTTTAAAGAGAAATTTTGAATTTTAGCTTTGAATAAAGTTTTGGGTTAATCGATTAAATAAAAAAAAAATTTTTTTTATATATACCTTCTTTTAGAAATACTATTTTGCATACATTAATAAAAAATAGAAATATGTAAGTATATGATAATAAAATAAAATAGACGCATATACATTAAATTATCATTACGATTAATATATATATCGATATATATATTTAATATCGATATATGTTACTATAAATCTTGTGTCACATGATGAACGTGTCATATGAGGTTAAAAAAAAAATATATAATATATAAATAAAACTTGTTTCTAGCGGTTGAACCTAAACTATATTTAACATAACATCGTCGGACAATTTCAACATGTTGTAACTAGCAAAAAGGTGGGGTCTGGAGGTACAGTTTGATAGTCCAGGTATGAGAATTATCGTGTGTAAGAG